TTAATTCCAATTTAATCTATTGTTTTTAATTTGTTTCAAACGTACAATTTAACAGATAAGCATCATTACTAAGTTAATTTTATTTGTTTCGACACGTATTTCCTACCTTCATATATATATAAAAAAAAAAAAGTTACGTGTAATTAACAAAATCGTTTAATATAATACATGAAAAGCTAATAAAGTAAAAAAAACTAGGTTAATTATTAATAACACACCATTAAGTTATAATTATGATAATACTTTTATTTTTGATGACATAAATCATGAATTAGAAAACTAATTTTTAGTACTATGATGAATAAAGAAATTAAACAAAGAAAATATTAATTAAAATTATAATTGACTTAAATTTAAGTTAAAATTAGTTTCAAAGAATTTTTTTCGTAGATAAAAACTACGTTAAAACGAAATTATGTTTCATAAGAATAATTGAAACTTTCAACTCGGCGAATATTTCAACTACTGCCATCACAATAGGATAACGCGCTGAACTTTTACATACCGAATARCAGTGCATTAAACAATAACTCAGATATATTTTTTTCATACGAACTYATATATGACTATATGAGTATTTAATAAGTCGAACTATGTAACGAAAAACGACTAATATCTGTCAACTATGGTTAATTGCAATAACTGTTGGTATGCTGTACAGATAGAACTAAAATTATCAAATGTCTGTTTGGAAATAGTTCGTAATGACATAATATCGTTATGGTTGGTTCGGCTTACCGAAAAATAAGCAATTTTACTACCGGATGATTAAAATGGAATTTTCGTGTACAATTTTAACTTTAAAACTACGTCTGAGGTTATAGGTTATTAAATCGCGTTATGTTAGACGTGTTTCGTATACATACTTAGGAAATAAAATAATAGTGTTATTATTATTATTACTATTATTATTATTATAATTACTATTTTTCGTTCAAAATTAATTTTAAGGAATTCCTTGATGAGGAGTACCATCTGTCGTTTTCCACGCACTTGTGCAAACGATTTTTTTTTCCGTCATTATATGGGGTGGATTTTTAGCTTTTTTTTTTGTTTTTCGTACACACTACTAAACGTCGTCAAGTGGTCTCTAGTCTCTACACCAAAATAATTATCACTCACCTATTCCAGCAGCGACGGAAATTATTATTGCTGACAGCGTGGCCACGTACCACGTCACTCGYCGGTCCGCCATTGGGGACCGAAGTAAATCAAGTGGATATCTGTGGATTCGACGGGTTTTCTATTCAATCTGAATAATTTTGTCGTATAAAAGGTTGTGACGGTGACAACGAGAACGACGACGGATGGATGGTTGTGGTGTTAGAATATCGTATGGCTTACGGTTTTTAAAGTTCTATTTTCTGGTGATTCGTTTCGTTTTCAGGGATTTCACGAAAGTCGTTCATTTCCACGGCTTCTTTAGACGAMGAACCGTATGAATTATTAGGTTGGTACTCGATAAAAATGTAATTAATATTAATAATACAAATAACAATATTATAACAGTGATTTGTAGTGTTGTGCAAATCGCAAAAACAAGGGCTGAAAATTGGAAACGCACACGCGGAAGACGTCTGCGGACGATCGAAAGGAACGACGAGGGAGAGAGAAAAAACGTGCTCGGAGGGTCCGGGCAGAAAGGCGACGCACTTGGAACTCGCACACGTTTCTAGGGACGGTGGCCGGCGGGACCGGCGACGACAGCAGAAACCGCCATCTGACGGCCGACGGCGACCGAACGTTACGTGCCGTGGCGACCTTGTTGTACTCAGCGGCGGTTTGTTTTATTTGCTTGGTTTTTTCCTCCATCTCCTAACCGAATTATTATCGTTGYAGTTATTGTCATTATTATTATTATTATTWTTTCATCAATTACGCTTAAATATTAGCTGACCCGTAAGCGCAAGAAAAATATCGATTAGCCTCTGGCGGACRTAATGCGATTTTCTACCAGTAGACGCCTCTCTCCCACCCCTTTCTCCAACAAAACACAGTATACCTCCCTAGTATCTATGAAAGTAAGTGTACAACAAAAATTTCAGAAAAAAAATTGTATCCAATGTAATTTTAAAACGATTTACCCTCACACAAAACACAATAAAAAAAAATCGGGATCTAACACACGATAATAATTTTCGTTTTCCTTAAAATTAACTCACCCCACGCCACCATCAAAAGTATAGTAATTATAGAGTCGTTAATAATACGACTTTGTGATAATATTTTTGGTCTCAATTATTGACATTTTGAAATACATGCATTAACACGAATGATAGACCTTTGCAGAGGCAAGTATGCAGAGGCAACTTGAAGCTAAGTTTTGGAATCGAACATTTGATCATGGACTAATCCACATCGCTTGACTGAAACTCAAAATATATAACTATTGCATACTATATGAATAGACATAGAATTATTTTTAATAATCGTTTTATAATTTTTAATTGAAGGTATCATACCATGTGTTATAACACCATCCGATTTAGACATTTATTAGAATTTTAGACATTTTATAATACGTTTATTCTTTGTTTGTAAAATCTAATATTGTATCGTACACATTTTTACATATTATATTAAAAATGTACTCACTGTTAGTATATAAACGTCTGTGTAAAATATGATATATATCTTTCTGATGATGGATATAAACAGCGAATCTTAAAAAATACCTATATATAGTCTATAATATTATGATAAATTGCAAATGTACTTAACTTTATTCACAGTGTGTTCACTCAAAGATCAGTTTTCAAAAAAATGAAAAACGTTTTATATTGTATTTCATTTCAGTTTAAGGCTACTATAATACTKAATTCATAATTCGAACATCATGTTCGTATTTAAATCGTATAAGGGAAATATAATTATATAATATGTAGACACTGTCACACTGTAATGCGACGGCATGCTACCTATAATAAAAATATTATATACCATTTTA